TAAGGGGAAGGAAATGCCTCAGGGCCCATTGTTTTGTGTCTGCTGGCTTGTGTGTATGTCAGAGGGGCATCTATTTTTTGGCTGAAGCCCCTCAGAGGTATTTTCTACTTCCTGTCGGGCTTTGGGCTAAAATAGTTCACCGGGAATTCAGGCAGAATATACAAACAAGCAAGCAGTGACGTTGAGTGGTTCAACATCAAAGATAAAACAGTCTCTCTGCAACAGCATTCTCACTGTAGCATGTTATCAGTGCTGAAGAAACTGTACAGAGAGCCTGAGAAAAAGAAGCATGTCAGCCAGAAGAGGCGAGATTATTTACCTTTGGAGATTAAAGAGGCCCTCCTCAGCACCCTTAGGTTAAACACTGCATCCAATTGGGCACTGAAAGTGCTTGAGCCAAAGACAGAGAGGAATGCAGGGGCTCTCATAAAAACACAAACATTTGAGGAACAAGCTCAGCACCCTCTGACACACACACAGACACACAAGCGGATCTGCATGTCAGCAACCTCCTGAGAAGCAGCACTGCTCGGCAGATGTGCAAAACCTCGCCACTTGTGACCAAAGAGAGCGTCACAAAAAGGGGAAGTGAAAGTTAGCAGTGATATCTATTCATCTTACTAAAGAAATGACTACATAAGTGGATGAAAACCCAACAATACAGTATGCTCCAATGCCAGTTCCTATCTTTGGTCCTAAATCTTGGTCCTTATCGCTCCATTTTGCACGGTAGGTTAAAGGATGGGGATATTCCAAGGATTGCGTCTCTGCTATGCTCTTGTCAGACTGTAATCACATGAGGATCAGTTGAGTCTGTGTTATAGAGATTCATTTACACACTGCACATACTCTTTAATAGGCATTTTGATATTTCTGGTAGATTAGATTCATTCAAAAATGTCACACAACAGAGACCAGGGAAAAATCTACTCACAGCAGAAGCTGTTTCGGAAGCACTTTGGGAAATAGATTTTTATCTAAGGTTTACCACATCTAGCAGCCTTTTAACTGCAGTAGTTACCCTGTTGCATGTGGCGAGATCATAACAGTCTGATAAATGGGTCTAATGGAGGTCTGATTACCGGCATCCTGCGTGAACAGACTTGGATCACATTTCTATTTATTAGTCAAGCTCATTTTATTTGTATAAAACATGTTAAAAGACCCAAATAGAGACAATACGCAGGAAAATGCTTCTCTACTTTGTCTAAAGAGGTGGGGAACATATTATTTAAGTATTTAATCATTTCCAACTCATCATCACTCCTCCATGAATGACTGGTAGGGAGACTTTAAACCTTTATGATCCAGGGAACTGTGAACTTTCATACACATTCCAGGCAATGCATTATTAAACAGGCTATGAGTCTTCACTGCGGCTGCTCTGCTTTTGTTTAATCATCTGATGATTATCCCTCCCTAAAAACTGCCGGCTTAGTACATCCTAATACTACTATTTTATCCAATTTCGGTGTATTAAAGTTGTATGAAGTTCCTGGGGGTGTATACATATCCTGTAAAAGACCAGGGTCGGTGTGAGAACATCAGCGGATAGTTAAAAATCTTGTTTTACCTTGAATGGTTTCGCGGCGGTGAAGCAGAGAGTTGCCGTGGCATTCCAGTCCCATCAGTCCAGCGAACATTTTTCCATTAAAAAAGGCTGTTTGTGTTGAAAAGTCAAAGAAAGTCAGACCTCGGTGGCACAAGCCTGCATAGAGTTACATCGACCATGTTTTAGAAGAAGTGAAGCCAAGCAAAGGGACTGATCTCATTTCCGTTATGGAAAAGTGAACCCGGGCTGCTATATTTTCCCTGCACACAGTGAGTGACGGGTGAAAACTGCTTCCCAGCGCGCTGTTTTGTCCCTGATGAAAATTTCTTGACACAAACATTTATGGTACATCAGATTCTTACATTTCTCCCCCTGTTGGAAACAAGTGGGTTCCGCTGCGCCTGAACTGACGGTCTGGAGAAAGACTTCACGTCGTGCTGTTCCTTGTGGGGAAAGTATGGAAAACACATCCAGCGGTGGTGTGCAGTGGCAGAAGTACATAGCCCAGGAAAATCCGTCTGTTAGTCGACACATCGATCAGTAATCCGTTGGTCGCTGCGCCCTTGCGTCATGCGTCGCGTTGGAGCTCCTACGTGTTCAGGAATTTGACTCCAGACTCCTTCAGACCGCCTCATATCCACAGCGGGCACACTGTGGAAGTAGCAGCGGACACGGAACCGGATTAAATAACGCAGTTGTTTATGTTTATATGTGCTGTATTTTAGTGTCACTGAAGCTTGTGGAGGAAATTTATGGGGGAAAATACCATCTCTCTACTATTAAGTCACAAATACCATGAAGTTCAAATGTATACACACAGGATGCGTGTGATTCAGTCATTTAAATCACAGTGTAGCAGGTCTGTACTCCCTTACACATCTTAATGTGTCTCTTTCTTTCGGCACTCAGGGAATCAGCGAGTAGCACCAAACCCTAGACCTCACATGGCGCAGAGTCTTTTCATCCACCCCTTCACACACCGCTCATCCCAGTGCTCCTTTCATTCAGCTCGCCTGGCTCGTGAACAATACTCAGAGACAAAAAGCTCTGTTCAACAGACAGAATGCAGGACGTACTTACACATAGCTAGGGTAAGAGCAGGGATGAAACACGTTGCCTGGCACGCAGAGTGCCATCACCTGCTCTTTGTTAAAGATTAGAGGCGCATTGGAGATGCGTTTTTGACATCAGCGCACTGCCCCACAGGCTGGCTAGTTTCCAGGAGAAGCCCTTTGACTAACCTCTCAAGTTTTAGCTTAGTTGTCAAGTTTTAGTCTTTGGCTTACCTCTGTGCCATAAGTTTTAAGACATAAGAAACACCATATTATGCGAAAAACCCAGAAAGAAGATGCTAAAATTACACACGGTGTCTATAAGGGAGCAGATGAAATGTATAAGAATGATGTAATCACATCTGTCTTATGTATTGATATATGAGGGCTTTTATGAAATAATTAAGCAATCAGGAAAAGAGTGACTGCAAGGATAAAAGATGACTTAATCAAAGGATAAACACGTAGCTGTTGACTAATAACACATTAGCTCCTGCTCTGTTAGGTTTAGCTTGCTCTTTCCCTTCATCAGCTATGCATTCAATGCATCCATCGCATGCATTTTTCACAGTGCTGTAGCTGTGTTGCTGACTTTGACCAGCAGATGTCAGACTTCACACAGATATATTAGTTTATCCGCCATAGAAAGTTAAGAAATAACTTTTTTCTTTACATTTCCCAAAAGTATGTGTACACGTTTTCACTTTTACATCAAACCTTGAGAAATACACGTTTTCGTCCAACTTTGATTTCATACATAACTACAACCATAGGCTGACTACGTGTTTCCTGATTTAGTCGTATTCACAAAATATTCATTTGATCCATCATGTTTATGTCACTGTATACACAAATATATAGTATCACATTTAAATAGTCTGAATGTGGATTTAATAGCATTCTTTTCTCCTAATAAAAAAAGGTCCATGCCAGTTTTTTGACTTTCTCCTGTGTATGGAACCAGGAAGTTTTTAAGCATGGCCACGAGAGTCATTTCCAAGCCAAAGGTCTAAATCATTGTAAGTTTTATAGCTCTCACTGACAAAGATGTTAAGAGTGGTTTTGGTCTGCCATATTCCAGACAGTAGAGTTACAGCAAATCTCTGGATTAGGGTTGTTCCAGGATTTATTTATTCATTTATATAAATGGGGCGCTAAAGTAAATTAGCTAAAGTGCGTTACAATGATTATAATGTGCACAGGCCTCCTATGTAATAACTACACAGGAGATAACTACGTCTCCTGTTGCACAAATTAGGAGATGTAGTTACCCAGTAATAATATAATGGCTGCACTTAAGCACAAGATTTAATGGTTTGGTAATGGAACCACTGTGATATGGTATAGTTATAGTTTTACAAAGTAAAGCAGTTAGGAATAGTAAGTAGTGGACTGAGGTTCATGCAATATACCCATGCAGTCAAACAGTCACTGCATGTAATATTATTTATATTTAGATAGTTATATATTCACAGTGAAGCAGAGGAGGACGTTTATTTCTACAGGAAAATGGGGAGTTAGACCCCCTTATCATCTCCTGCTATAATTTCCAGTGCCACCCTTAACCCCCTCTTTAACCGCGGTTGGCTGATCATCTCCTTCGTAAACAAATTGCTTTTCTTTGGAGTGTAAAAGGAGGCCAAAACTTTATTTTTTCTGCACATGTATCTGTTTGTATACACCGTTCTGAAATTGCCCAGCAGATGGCAGACCTAAATTATTTGGACTCTCTCTCTTACAGAGTCATAAAAAGGGACAAACTTATACAATATCAAAATGATCCAGTTCATATCAAAACAAAACAATTACTTAATTACAAATAGCCTACATTTTTTGTACAAAATTAAATTTGTCATAGTCTTTTTTTTTTCTAATGTATGTGTGATCAAAATGTGATATGTATACAGACCTAAAGGTGACTAATGTGAATCATAAAATAACATTTTCTCTGAGGTGAAATCTGGCAATAAGATTGTTTTGGCCCTATCTTGAATAAAGGCATCTATTTTCAACAACAGACTATGCTATCATTATTTTCATTTGTCACCGTACAATAACAAACACCATGAGGTGAAGCATGATATCAGTTCTCTACCAGGAATATTCCTCCTCTCATTCCAAATCTCACTTTAAGTGTACGTCACTGCACTGGGACGGAGTGTTTAAAGAGGGTAGAAGAAGGAGACAAGGGGTTGTTTGTGAGTATGTGTGTGTGTGTGTGTCTCCTGGAGAATAGGGGTGTGCAATGTGCAAAGGTCACATGTTCCTCCTCCATACTGAATGAAGAGTGCAGACAGCCAGTGGGACTACCTTAGATTATCTGTGTGTGATAGAGAGAAGGAAGGGCAGCGAGAGAGAGAGAAAATAAAATGAACACATATTTTCAAAGCCGCTTAAAGTCTCAGGGAGTATGGCATATTTGGCACAGAACCTTTATTCATGCAAAACAACTGAAGTCATCAGATCTTTATCAAACAAAAGAGAATCCATTGTCTATTGTAATACTGTTGTTATTGTAATAACAAAAAATGAACAAGCATGTCATAAAACACTAGAAACATCAGTGAAATCCCATTAAAAATGCACACAAACACCAAATGGAGCTAAACTAAACCAGACAATGAGACCACAGAGAAGAGCGTCGTTGAAGCAGTGCGGGATTAAACCACTCCTTCCTCGGGGTCGATGAGTGTGGTCCGACTAGAGAACACGTCTGCCAGCATGTGTTTGGGGATCTCCGAGCCACGGACGCGTAGGGTGTAGCACGCGTCTTCTACTTTGCCCAGGCTCTGCCGCAGCGTGTGCAGCTTCTTGGACACCTCGTACGGGCCTGTGTTCCCAATGTAGGAGAAACCATCGTGGATCTGCCGCAGGAACTGGCTTAGCTGGAAGGGTGTGTCAATGTCGCCATTGCCGACGCTGCTGATGCACATCCGCATCAGCTCCCCTGTTAGGTCGGCCACGCCCAGCAGGTAGTCGGACGACGTCACCTGAAAGGTCAAGACCTGAGCGTTCACCGGCATCGCTTCAGCTGAGCTCTGAATTGGAAAACAGGACAGGAAAGAATACATTCTAAAAAGCTGGGCCTTTTTATAAAATGTCAACAAAAACAGAATGCAATGACCTGCAAATCTCTTAACCCCATATTACATTCATAGTAGAAGACAGAAAACTAAATGTTTAATCTGGGAAGCTCATTTTGAATTAGATGGCAGCAAAAATTTCAAAAAGTTGAGACAAGGAGGGAAAAAAGGATGAAAAAGTAAGTGTACTAAAAAGAAACATCTGGAGGAACACTATTATTTGAAATTCTTTTGGGAAATCAGAGCAGAGAGAAACTATTCAGCTTGTTATCAACGCTCAGTTTAAAAACCTGCATCTGTGATGGTACAGGGATGCATTGGGCACCCATCAATGTCTTTTTCAGGGAAGGCCGTGCATATTCCAGCAATACAATTACAGTTGTATTACAAGTACAACAGTGTGGCTTCAATAGACGGTTAGAAGAGCCTTGCTCCTGCAGTGATCTTCCTGAAGTTGGAATCTTTCACCAGCTGAAAACATCTGGAACATCATAAAATGAAAAATAACAGAGAAAAGACCCAAGACTATTGAGCAGATAGAACCCATATCAGACAAGAATGGGACACCATTCCTCTCCCAAAGGTTCAGCTGATCCCCTCAGTTCCCAGATGTTTATAAACAGCTGTTAAAAGAAACAGGGATGCTACACACTGGTAATTGTGACACTGAGACATGCTGCTGGCACCAATTTCAAAATTATCTTATTTATTTATGTGCATTTTCTGAATTTGAACATTTTATATGCAATGCCTTTAATGCAAATTAATGAGATTTAAGTCATATTGTGTGGATCAACAGACACCCTACAACTGAAAAAAATAAACTGTCACATCTTGCTTTAGAAAAGAAAAAACAATCCAAAAATAAAACCATTAAAACATTAATGGTGAAGTTTCTATATTTGGAGTCTCAAATCGAACGGTGACCTTACAGTGGCTACATCTAAGTTTTATTTTTATATACACTCTCTGAGCCAAACAGAGTTTGATACCACGAAAGCAACAAAATCTATTTTCCAGAATGTCACATAGTTCTTTTAAGGACTTTTTGGGGATTAAAAAATACTTCATAAATTGTTAATGTTCAGTCAGTCCTCTGTGATTTTACCTTAGGATCTGCCTTCTCTGTGTTCATGAACACCAGCCTGGCGTTGATCTCTTCCAAGCTGATGAGGCAGCGATGGCGAATGTAGTGCAGGAAAGAGACGGCTTCCACATATTCCTGAATCCCTGATGAATTAAAGTACATTAAAATGGATCAGAGTAAAACAATGGCATATTCACTTGATCATTTCACTGTGCTTGCTAAAACTGAATGTGACAGTGGCTGGGGCATTTGTTTGCAATTCACTAAAATGACCATGTATCAAATGAGCGTAGCAAGCAGAGCGTGCAGCATCAACATGAAATCTGCACAGTACAGATCACAGATGGAGATAATGATTCAAATAAAACCTGTTTCCTGTCTCTATCTTTTGATAGAACAACAGTGGGTGTTTTTTTTGGTGGGCTAAGATGACCCCTCATTTGTTTTCTGCCCCTGGGTAAACAACAATCCAATAATCACAGGACGGAAGACTTTGTGTCTGAAGTTTACTTTTGGAGCGGCAGTTGAACTTCAAAGAGCCTGCTATCTCTCCGCACTGACCGCAATGCGCTGCACGGAGCCAGCAAGAATACTTTATCTTGACTGTACTCTGAATAGCTTTCACCACTCTGATTATGATTTCAGTCCAGTCACACCAGCGTGTACAGGCAGTGGGCCGAACGACTACACAACACTAATGTGCACGGAAAATATGAAAACTATCAATTGCAGCTACTTCGTTATTTGGTTTTGCAAAATAAATGCATTAAATATATCGATGATCATCTATATTATGTCTTAATGACTTCATTTAACATTTTGTTTATTATGAATAATTATAGAAAAATCATTGATTTTTTTTCTATTAGTTTCTTAGTAGCTGACAAATTTCACCTGCTGAGACAACAGCAAAATCTGATACTGAGAACTTCAATTTGATAATTACCTAATAACTCTACTTACCAACATAGTTAAACATTTGTGTCTTTAAACAAAAGACGTATCAGAACCATATCGCAGCATTAATTCTCAAAGTTGTATGGGTTACATGGAAACATTATGTCAACAATTTGCATTTGATTAACTGGACTGATCTGAACAAGCTGGAGCAGAAAAGTTAAAAGTTAACCAAGTATTGCAAAAGCAACATAAAATAGCATCTTAAGGAAAAAGAGAAATAATTGGAAATAATGAAATGACATGAATTACCAATTTATTATCAAAAGAAATTTGAAAAAGAAAAATTAATTCTTATCTAATCATAATAAACTGTTAACAGTTACAACAAAGTATCCAGTGGTAAAAAAACAAAACAAAATATTTTTATTCTTTGGCTCTTAACCCGGAGCGAGAGCTTGGGTATTTAGGCTGCTATATTATTGCTTGTATTTTTTGTAATTCCTTGAATGCGCTTGTGTATGTGTGCGTGCGTGTGTGTTAGTGTTAATTCTTTAACCCTTTGTTTCATGTACAACATGTTGGTCATCTTTGTTGTTTTTATGAATAAATTTGGATTGAAAACATTTTTGCTTTTTTTTGCTAACAGCATAGTTAGCATTGAAACATTGTTACTTAAAATTGTGGATTAACAGTTTAAGTGAAATTGAGTGGTTTGTAAGTGTAGTCGCAACTTTAAATGGAGGATTAACTATTAATAGTTACAAACAAAAACTATTAAACTGAAACATGTTTACTTGGAGTACATAATTTTATAGTACTGTGAAAGAGTCTTTAGCCACTTTTCATTTCTTTAAATTGTTTTTCTCCAGGCTTCCAAATGTCTTTAAAACCTTAAAAGACCTTTGGAAGCCTGGAGTAGCCATTGGCTACTTTTTCACTTATATACATAACATAATTTCCTTAGGGATTAATAAAGTATTCTGATTTTCATTCCAGTGCTTGGACCTGATCATTTTCAGAGGAATGTTTTTTGATTGTTAAACCACTTAATGCTGACATATGAATCATTCGTAAATAAAAAAAGAAAAAGCACCTAACTCAATTTTTCCAAGCAAAGTATAAAGAAATGAGGAGCGGCTAAAGGCTTTTGAAAAATACTGTATTTTAGGCTTCGGTCCTCCCAGTGTTTATTTGGCAACTGTTTTCGACTCTTTAAAAAAAAAACAAAAAAAAAAACCAAACTGCTTACCAGCTAAACACTGCCAGTGGATCCACTTTCACAGAGGGAACACCACAGTCCAGGGCAGTTTAAATAAGGCTTTGAGGCAGGCAGGCAGAGCCCAGTTCCTGCATTTACTGTCAGGAGTTGTTTATGTCTTTACTGAAGCAGAAGTTACCTTTGGTCAACGAGGCTCGCAGAAACCTTACAGAACATCGTGTCTAAACAGTGACTAAGAGCTAAAAAAGTGGAAATTTGAGAGATTTTACTGGCATGGTGGTAGGAAAAGTTGAGAGGCGAGGGTGCGAATATAGCTCGGCAGGATCAGATCTTGAGTAATGCGCAAACAGTACCGTTGCGGTTTGGCGCACATTCATGTACTGAGAATACTGAGGATTTTTGGACTGAGCTAATGTTTGACCACAGAGCGGTTCACTGAATTGCAGGTGAGCCACGTGAAAAGTTCCACATGTTAATGTACGTTTGCACTGACTCATAGCAGCTAGCAGGGTAAAAAAATAACAACAACAAAAAAAAGCGTACCCAAGTGCCACGCTGCTCTGTTATCAGTGGCAATTATGGTCAGATTTAGCCCACAATATCTTTGATGGTCATTATATAAAAAAAACAGACCCATTACACATGCCTGGAGACTTCTCCTCCAGCCAAGATTATCTGGAGGGCCCGTGCATCGAGCCCAGCCTCAATCTAATAAAGACGATGAAAATGGGGAAAAAAATAAAAGGGCTAATTGGTGGGAACTGCCATTGGTCACGTCGCGAAGGATGCAGCAGTGATTCCTGTGTGACCGCAATCTAAAAATGACTTCCCCAGCTGCTAGATAACAGCTCCCACTCGCTGCCAGTCATGTTTTTCTCCTTCGCTGCAGACATTATGGCTACAGTAACAAAAAGTGGTGCTTATGCTAGTTTGAAAACAACTTTATCAGAAGGCGTGACCATCACATCCAGGCCTGCATCAAGGTCATGCTTTAACACTATCACTGACTTTACAATATGTCTATTGAAGATAAAAGAAAATCATTTAAGTACAAATCATAAAAAAGAAATTATTAATTACATCAACGGATAAAGAAAAAAAATGTAGTTTCATATCTCACCTTAACTCTAGATTTCGACATTTCTTTGTCTACTTCTTATTTTGGGTGAGTGACACTATCGTCACTCTAAGGCAGCTGAGTGAACCAATCAGAAGTAGACTTTCTATCAGAGCTGCATTATACAATGCAAGCTAGTTGTGCTAACTTTCTATTGACTATACTCAATGGCTTTGAATGACCTTTTAGGGCCTTCCACACTATTATTCAGTGTTGGGGAGTAACGGAATACATGTACCGCCGTTACGTATTTAAAATACAACATATGAGTAACTGTATTCCGTTACAGTTACCGATTAAAAAGGGGGTATTCAGAATACAGTTACTTTGTTGAAATAAATGGATTACACTGCGGTACTTTCCTGTTTCATTTTGTCGCGGGTCAGGACTGTTTGGGTTTTGTTTGACAGCTACGTTCTTTTGTTCCAGGCGGCAGCGTTATGGTTGCCATGGTTACAGGGCGACACTCTCTCTCTCTCTCTGCGACTGTGTGTTTCCTGGGTGAGAGAGCGCCTTTTCGTTGTTGTTGTTGTTGTGCTAAGCTAACAGGCAGAATGCTACAAGCATAGCTCTAAAGAATGTAGCATCATGGGCAGTGTAGTCCGTGTTGCAGGGAGAATGGACTGCCATACACGTTATGTGTCTGTGAGCGCGAGGAGGGAGAAAAAGGGGAGTGGAAAGGTACGAGTTGTCATCGAGGAAAAACGGGAGCTGGAAGCATGTAAATATAATAATAACCACTTCAGCCAAGAAGAGTGCCTGACGAGCCCAGTTGTAAGTAAGCTATTAAGACTCAACTGTACACCGTGTTCGTGTTTTCCTCCGAAAACAATAAGTTCCGTTGGAGCAGTCTTTCAATGCCTCTCTCTGTCAAGAAAAGTTGACCCACACAACAAAGTAAAGCTATTTTTCAGCTACGAGCCGACAGGGACCCCGCCGTATTAGTCAGAGGTCCCTTTACTACAGTTCGGAGTCGCGGACCTTCAGTAATAGTAATAAATCACACAGCAATAGTACATTCACGTTGTTGTAAAAAGCACGATAATATATTAAGTAATCAGAATTATTCAGTTATTATTATTATTCAAAAGTATTCAGAATACGTTACTCTCATTGAGTAACGTAATGGAATACGTTACAGAATACATTTTGGGGCATGTATTCTGTATTCTGTAATGGAATACATTTTAAAAGTAACCTTCCCAACACTGTACTATTATTATATTAAAGGTATATTTATTAGAACCCTTAATGTACTTCATAAAGATTAAAACAGCAAAATACTTACTGCTTAATAATAAGAAGGAGATTCAACGAATGTGAGCTATCATTTTTGCAAACACCTCTAGTGGAATCTACATCAGATATGATCTAACTGAGTCACACACAAAGGGCCACGTGCCTTGTATCCCATGGGACCGTAATCTAATAAATCCACTTGGGTGTGGCAGGAGAATTTAAACAGCCGATTAACCATTTTAGAGTGAAAAAACACCACTTTCAAAGAATTCAGTTTCTTTCAGAATAAATATGTGCTTTATATATAAACGAAAAGAGGTAAATGACCACTCACCTGGTGTGAAGGCTCTGTGAAACTGATAAATATCCTCTCCTTTCAACTCCTCAGCAATCTGCCCAATCTTCTGCCTGACTCCATCCAGCTTTATGTCTGCCTCGTTCAGGACATCCTCTGCATCTGGTACACTTTACACACAGAAAAAAATGTTAAAAGGTACAAAAAACATAAATATTTATTTTTGTTTTAGACTTACTTTGTTGCATGCCCACTACAACTAATGCCAATGTATTTATTGTTTTTACTTATCACTTTTAAAGATCATTTGCCATTTTAAGATGATTTTCCCCCTGTGAAGCTCATTAAAGTCCTATTACATTTTTAGCTGACGCTGTTCTGAGATCTTGATTGACATTGAATTATATGTTTTGTCAAGATATTTCCATATTATTCCAAAGCATATATTCACACATTACATCCCTCTCAAAACTATATCTGTACTGAATAGAGACAATGTAAATGATAGGTAGGTTATTTTCAAAGCTGCTGTTTACATCAATGATATAAAAAAGACACTCTGTAGTGTCCAGACAGCAACTACAATCAGAAGCAGGCTCCAGTGAAAAAACTGATATACAGTTATGTCTAAAGGGTTTAGAACAATGATACATTTTTTGTAATTTTGCCTCTGTATACTAACACAGAAGACTAAACAAAACAATCAATATGTGATTGAAGACTTTCAGGGTTAATTCAAGGGGTTTAACCAATGTTTTGCAGAAAATGTGAGTAACTACAGATACTTCTGTCCTGAGCCACCCCTCACTTCCTCATATTTTGCTTCAAATGAGCCACACTTGTCATTTTTTTAAACTGGTCCTGAGCAATAGTTTTCCTGAATGTTTCTCTTTTGACATTGGCTGCTGTGCATGTCATTTATTTGTGGCTCATCAGAAATGGCCACAGCAGAAGAGTGACTGTCGATAATCATCCACTTTAGTTGTCTTTTGTGGGCTAGTTAGTATGTTTTGTCTTTAATAATATATCAGATTGTTTATCTGGCTTTATCTCTGACAGGTTTATTTTGTTTTCTTTTTTAGCCTAATGATGCCTAATGATCTCTTTTTGCTTTGGTGTTTAAAATTAAAGTGGAAAACTATAAAATCCTAATTTCAACATGTTGAATGAACTTCAGATATCATGTCTGCTGTATTTATCATGAAATAACCTAGGAAGAGGCCTCACCTGAAACTGCCTCAGTCAGTACAATTACTGGGCCTTTTGAGAATGGGAAACTGTGTATAAAAGTGGCTGTAACTCCTACACAATTAATGCAATATTTTTGTTAAACCCCTTGAATTAAAGCTGAAAGTCTGACCTTTAATCACATCATGATCATTGTTTTAAAAATCCACTGTGCTGGTGCACAGAGGCACAAGTAGTTATCCCAAAAACTTATAGACCTAACTGTACTAATCTATACGGTGCATATTATTGTTAAGAACACCTACGTGGTCACTCTGTGCAGAAGAAATATGGTTCTCTTGCTTTCAATTGTGACGTCGCGACTAATCTTAACAAGACGCTCATATTTGTCGTGTTTGGTGTCGAGCTCCTGTTGGAAAACTTGAAATACACAGAGAAATGTTTCAGTGCAGGCAATACAACATTAAAACCATTTGGGTGCAAAGTGCAGTGAGAATACTGAGGATGCTGTTACCTTTGAAGGCAGCCATGACAGACGAGGAGGGGTTGGCACTCATTTCGTGCTCCTGCGCTGCATCTGCATTTCTCCGTGAACAACCCTCACCTGACAGTAGAGATGATGTCATAGTCTTTAAATAATAACTGCCTCTATCTGCCTCTCAGTCACACAAATAAAATACACTGAAAAAAATGAAATTGGGTGGTTGTTATATGTACAAGATTCAAACTTGTAATTGGAACTAAATTATTTCATGTTCCTATGGTGAACGTAATTAAATCATGTAGCATCTGCATGAAATTCAACAACTTAATTTGTTCTTGTTGAGATGACATGATCATGACATACAATCTAGTAAGAGTGGTTAGTTGCCTGGACTCACGAAATTCACAAGATCACATTAGATGCCAAACTGCAGGAAAATCATTGGAGTTTTAAGAGGCAGACAACTGCTTGTTTTATCGCTATTTATTGTGGTTTAACCTGTCAAGGACAAAAACGTACAGAAAAGTCTGCATCAAACCTTGTAATCAAAGCTTTCCTAGTTTTCTTTCCTAGCCTGGATTGACAGCTTGGTGGTGTGATGGTGAGTGCTGTTGTCTCACAGCAAGAAGGGCCTGGGTTCAAATCCACAATCTGTCTGGTTTGCAGTACGTAATTAGAGTTAGGTTAATTGGCTATTCTAAATTACCCATGAATCTAAGTGCAAATGGTTGTTTGTCTCTATGAAATCATCAATCCCATATTGGTTCATTAAGCAAGACTAGCAGTAATTGCCCTGATTAACAAAGTAGTTGTTCAAACAACAAGATTTCATTGTGTTTTCCTGAAGTTTTTAACTTGTGTAGAATGAATTAAAACAAATTTCACTTTACATACTTCAATATGTAAAGTGACATAAGTCAATGTAAGTATACTACGTTGATCCAACGTAATCTGATTACATTAAACCACCAAATGCCAAATGTGTTGGTTTGACATGGTCAAAAAATGGGTTATTGTACTTAGTTAAATCACGTGGAAAAGGTGCCATGATTAAATTGTGTTCCTCCAACAACAGATTTTTTGGAGTGTAGGACAGAAAATTTCTTGTATGTACAAACAAATGACAACGACAGTGGCTGCATGGTGAGATTTTTCCCATTCAGCAGCCAATGGCAACTTGTAGTGACCAAATGGCTGCTAAGAGCTTGAGTGCGTGGGTATAAAGATTGCGTGTAATTGCCAACCTGACCCCATTCAATCGGAGACTGATAGAAACATTTATTGCAGGTTTTAGTGACAGTGTTGGCACGCATTAGAATCTCATTTTTTGCAGCAAAAAAATATTGAAAGTGAGATAACTTTATTTAAAATTGTGCATACTTTGCAGTTGAAAAAAGACAAATGCGATACTTGGCTTAATGCAAAAGGTTAAAAAAAAGATAATAATATTGTATCGTCAATGAAGTATTATGATAAAATCCTATCGTAGGGTGACTCGTGATTCGCCCTAGTATGTGCTTTAGGCATTTTAAGGGAACACGGGATTAGCACTGTTTACGTCTGTTACGACCGAAATGATTTCGTTAACCTGACTTAGGCAGAGTAGGTTAAAACGTTATCATGTATTAGTCCTACTGTTATTTTAGGCTTGCTGGGTAATTACAAAACTCATAAAACTAAACTTGTTATTTTGAAATGATGGACTTACCTTCTCGTTTATTCATAGCTTCGGTGTTGTAGTGCACAGTTTTAAGGGGTGTATTTCGAGAGTTTTAGCCACTAACTAACGCCAGTACCAGTCAAACGTAAAGGCTGAGTACTATTACGATAAAAAAACAAAATAGTTCCGCTTTAATCCGAAAAAATTATCTTCTCTGAGCGATGGAAAACAAAATTAGTAGAGCCTACAAATATTTTAACGCGAATAAAACGGTGTTTCCTTGGTTTTAATAACAGGCGTTGGTGCGGACCTCAGTCCATCGCGGGGCTTTTGCGCTGTTTACACGCGTAGCAGGAAATTCAAAGAGATGCATCACGGGATACGTAGTTAAATGTCAGCATCAGGAGTTAGTTTTATTACAATGTTTTCCTTATTACTAATTTTCAAATAATTAGAATCTGCTTTTAGAAATTTGGCGTAAATATATAACAATTGCATTTATAATAATAACACAATTTCAATAACAACAATACAAACATATAACAGCTATATTTATAATAATTACATAATAATCGCTTTTATGACGTTATAACTATTAAGTAAGTTCTTGAAGATACCATGTATACTAATTAGATATTCCCATACCAAACCAAAAAGAAAGATGTGCCACACAGAACTTGTGCAGCCCAGACAATTTCTCTTTCCAGTCAAAATTCAAACGTAGAAATTCTCCAGACTGCCACCCTAAAATAACCAGTGTCTTAGATATTCCATCGAATATCTAAGCCAACCTTTGGCGAATTACTCGTCTTTTCAACAAAACGTTCCACCTTGACTTCTTCCACAGATTGAAATGTCTTTACTGAAAGTCCTGCAGATGTGATTTGCGATTGCTTTCTGTTAACCATCTGTGCATCTTTTTGAATATTGGCCACTGTTGTGTGATGCTTACTGCATACGTTTGTTTTCATTCACTTTTCATGATTATTTTTAGGTCTCAATTTAAAATTGGGCGTCTCCCTGTGGTCATTTAACATCTCCGAGAAGTTGTTTTGTGCATCATATTTTTTTTTCTTCTTGTTTTTATGTCATTGTCATTTTTTTTGTAGTTTTTTCCCCTTTTTGTAGTAACACCTTTCATCTTTTTACAACCACTCTCTTGGAATAAATGTACATATCATCACGTTTGGATTTACTATCTAATTTTGAGTGACAATTGGGGTATTTTCTATGTGTCATTGTTTTAACTTTGTATCTCTTTAAGTGTACTTTGTGTCTCATTTTAGTAATTTTACATCTTTGTATTGACATTTGGTCCCTTTACCAGCATCTTACATCTCTTTGGTGTGTCATTCTGGATGATTGTTTTGTGTATATTATATTTGTGGATAAAACAAGACCAGGACCCAGATGAAAAAACAAAACAATTTAACTTACCGTTGTGATGAATGAATGACAGGTGTTTGTCATAAAATATTTATATGAGTACCTCCATGCTCAATAAAATTTAAAATGTTATCCAATATGGCTTCCAGTAAATGATTTAAGTCACCGGTCTGTCATAATCCTAAGTTTCATAAACTGCACGCCACCCAACTTATCTGTCTATCATAACAGCAGCAAGCTCTTTAACTTTTTGTTTGTGCGAAAGGAATTTCACCTATGCGAGCCAGGAATGAGAGCACAACACAGTGCTGCTGACTGGAGATGCCTTCAGGTGCTCCCTTCAAGCTCCTACAAACTGATTTGTGCCAAAAACTGGTTTCCGATTCTTCTGTTTTTATTATGTCTTTTTTCTCATAAATAGACTATAGTCAACAGGAGCCACGAAGGGGTTATATATAAAACAAAGAAACGACTTGTTCTGCAAAAAATCTTTATGACTCCGTCTTATTGCATCAACATCATGATTATAATCCAGTCCCTTTTGGCCAATTAAAATATCTTTATAGAAGTGTGATGTTAGTTCTTGACATTTTAATTTTAACGACACATTTGACTTGCAAGTGGGTAGCTTCTGTTTCACTAGCATCACAAGGTGACAGGGCTCAAAACGATTTGCTATCATTCATAAGTGGTATGTTTAGCAGATGTAAATACCTCCAATTATGTTTTTATTTGTATTATTTTGGGGGGACAAATACCAGAAATCACTTTTCGGCACGACACAGGTTTTTAGATGTTTCTTTTGCTTAATATAGAATAATTACAACAGCACAACCACACGCAGGTAGACAAATACTCATCAGAATATCTGGTTTCTTACTTTATAATTTAGGCTATATGATACTATTGCTTCGATAGGAAATGCGCACAAAACGAGTCAGCGATGCTTGAAGCAACACTTGCCATATGGCTATATCTCTTTTGCTTGTCCTTTCCACAAATCTGTAAGCGGTTTGTGTCAAATTTAAATGACAGAGCTACCTTTAATTTGCCATTACACAGTATTGCAGTGTTACAGTAATGGTGAAAGTCAGAAAGAAAGCAACATTGGATTTATAACCTATTATACTGGATTGGGTACTCAAAGTATAGAAGTATAATCATGCATTTATGCCCTTTCAGTCTGTTGCACATTTTGTTCATACTTATTACTGCATGGTTGGTGGAGCTAATTTTCTGCACTGTTAGAGAACATGAATATATTGCATAATTGAAACAGTTAGGGTAACATATGTACATCACTTTTTACCGACTGACCAGAGGCGCATGCCCACCCCCGACAAGACTTGAACATGAACTTTCACGTGTCGCAAACACGCCTTTTTTCACCGCCAACTGTCTGTCCGACCGCACCTGAAAGCAGCACGAGAGAGGCGGTGCCTTTGTGCTGACGTCAGAGCGGGCCGGTCCTCGAGCTGGGCTGGCTGAGCACACTCTGAGCGGCGACATCCATTACCCCGGGAAGGAGAGCTAGCTTGCAAAAATGCCTCCCAAAGACCTCGACCCACCCCTAAAAGCTGGTCCATGGGCGCACGTTGTCGTGTTATTCCGCTGACACACGAGGAAGAAAAGGACATGAGTGCGATAAAATGGCAGGGTTTTGAATGTTTGATTCCTCTGGGTATCAGCGTGGCGTCGGCGGCGGGTCGTTTCCAAAGTTGTCGATTAGCAGAGCGCGTGAAGGATCGGTATTAAAGGAGCAGTACGCCTCCTGTATCCTCAAAACATGGAGAAGCCGCAGAGCGAGCTGGACCGAGACCGACAGTACTGTGAACTTTGCGGGAGGTTTGATAACCTTCTTAAGTGCGGTAGATGCCGCAGCTCCTTCTACTGCAGCAAGGAGCACCAGAAGCAGGACTGGAAGAAACACAAGCTCATTTGTAAAGAGGCGGACAAGCCGCAGCCGCCCGCACAGAAGCCCGAGCAGGCACCGCCGCCCGGGGACGACGAGGCGCCTGAGAAATGTCGAGAAGAGCAAAGCTCCGAGCAAGCAGACATTGCAAACACAAAAGCACTGAGAATTGAGGTGAGAGCTGGACATGATATGTCCGACAGCACCGCCACACCTAACGGACAGAGCAGCTTATCCCCGCAGAAACTTGCCATGGAGTGCATAGTGCCGTGCATGAATAAGCACGGCATCTGTGTGGTGGACGGCTTTGTAGGAGCAGAGATCGGGCTGGGCATTCTTGAAAATGTCAAGGCCCTGTACGAAACTGGCAAGTTCACAGACGGTCAACTGGTGAGTCAAAAGAGCGACTCCACTAAAGACATCCGAGGGGATAAAATCACGTGGATCGATGGCAAGGAGCCCCGCTGCGAGAAGATCCAATTTCTAATGAATCGCATGGACGACCTGATCAGACATTGTAATGGCAAACTGGGAAACTATGCGATAAATGGAAGAACAAAGGTAAGTACGAAGCACACGCGCATACTGCGCATCTACTGCATTCATCCTCCAGGAGCCAGAGGCTTGCTGGTGCGACACCTGCCACACACACTACAAGGTCAGGGAAGCAGCAATACTCTGCGTGGGGATGAAATCAAAAGTACCGCAGGTTTTTAACAGGGGTGCATCATTCTGCAGAAGCTTTTTTTCTCCCACTTTTGTCGTTAAAGCGCTATTAGGTGTAACAGATCAACCTTGTTTGCTAATTAGATTCGACTTTGCGGGTAAGAGGCCGGTGAGTCCTCTTCTGGCTTTGCTTTGAGTCAGAAAGGTGATTGCTGGTGCTGCTCACATGTTAATGGTTTTGTTTTGGACGCACGAAGAGTGTGCACAGACAGCGCACGTGTTCGGTCGCCATGGCAATAGAAAGACACCCTCAAATCATTGCTCTAAATAAACGCAATACCTCAACCAATAAGAAAGATTAAATTTGGATAGAGCACGTGTCTGCAGCATCTTTGAATCAAATGAAATCCAGCTGAAATCTAATGGAAGCAAAGCACGAGGCACATTGTTCTAGCAAGCAGCTGCAAGCATATGTCATGCTGGACTGTTTATTCTAGCCTAAAATGATAAAAAAAAATAAATAAAAGTATATTGATCCTAGTTCAGATGTGTAAATAGTTTAGCTTTCTGATGCCTACAGAATATATTCCTAAATCCATATTATCCATAGATTACTGCTCAAGTCCAGTCCTCACCTCTACAGGCTGCACTCCCTCCATTAAGTGTGTATTGTTCATATTTTGAATGACTATTGGTTTTTAGATGTGTTTCGTAGGTGTGTAATTATGTTTGGTGCTCTATTTAAAATAAACGTGATGGGGAAAGCATCAGATATAGAAAGCAGAGTTTCCAAATTAAAGATCAGATTTCGCTGAAAGCACCTTAGTAAGCAGTGAATAGCAGAGCTATATGTTCTAACAGACTGCATTAGTTTCAGGACGGTCATTCTGACCAGTGACACGACTAACACCGTTAACACATGCTGCCACATGCACAAACAATGGAGGCAGTCCAGCTTATCAGAATGTATATATTGTATTCATATGTTTGTACTTTAGCTTTTATTTTTGGTAAAATGTGAGTGATGTGAAGAAGCTGCAACCATGTGGCAGCTTTAGTGGTGACAGGTTGTGGTGATAAGTTCAGCGTCACACAACATATTTGGTTAGGCAGCATTCCTATACTGAGAAGAAAACCTGCGTGTTACAGGGGCGAAAGGAAGCTGTGGGTAGCTTCTGTTTCACTAAAATGTGTTTTCTAAGAACTTGTTTTTAATTGTCGGATGTCCTCGTTTTTTCAGGCTGAGCAGCTAGAGTTCAGAAGCTCTCCCGGCTCCTGGTTTGTTTTTTCCTAACTGTTAGTGCTGTCTAGTGGATAACGATGGTTGCGTGTGACCTGCGACTCTTGACAGATCTGGTCACCATGG